CCCCAGGATACCTGGGTTCACGCATCCGTCAGTTCACAAGGGCAATGCACCCCCTGCCATTCCTACCTCTCCAAACCTAACAAGCCACCTTGCTTGGTCACCCTTAGGGGGTGATAACACAGCCCCAGAGCTTTTAAAACCAGGCAGGAAAGTGTTTCTTTCCTCTAAGCATGAAACGAAGAGGAGTTCCCTGGAAAAACCCACCCACGGAGCAGCAAGTGTCAAAGCCACCTCTGTTATGTGCTGTTGCTGCGTTGGTAATTATAAGTACCGTGCCTTCATTAGGGAGAGATGACTGGGAGGCAAGGAGATTTGCAGCAAAGCTGTTATTATTTTTAAGTTTAAACAAAGAGGAGAAGTGTGACAGCTGAGATCATTCCCCACCCTACACACACCAGCAGCCGAGAGCATCTCAGGGGATGTTCAGGCCAGAAGGGAAGGAGGTTTTGCTTAACTGAGGAGCACAAAGGACAGGGCTGCAAAACTGAGGGTGACCACAGGGTCATGAAGGATGTTACAGATAAAAACCCAGAAGTTTTCCTCTATCCTCACCTGACTGCAGCAAAAAGATCCTCCTGGATACTCTGCTCCCCCCCAAAATGTGCCGAGGTTCATCCACAGCTCCCCAACAGCCTCACTCAGCGACTTTGGTTTCCAACCAAGCAAAGCACAAACTTCAAATTGCATATTCAAGTGTAAAATACGAACACAGCTGTTTATGCAGCTCGAAATTCGCCATAACCAAATATTCAAGCCTTTGGAGAAGATTTTCAAAGGCGCCAGTTAAGGCACACAGCTCCCATCGGTGCCTTTGAAACGTTTCTTCCCTTTTCAGTTTTTCACAGGGATTCGCACCAGCAAAAGCTCCTCCACCCGGCCGTCTGCAACCTCGGAATGCACAAAGCAGAGGCTGTCAAAGAGAAGCTGCTGGAAAACGCAAAGCAAGGTTCAGCACTTTGGGGCATCCTGAAAGGCAGCTGCCGGAGCCACTGGCCCTGAAACCCGCAGCCCCCAGAGCAAATTGTTCTGGAAACTCACACCGTGGGGATTTGCACGGAGCGAGAGCTGTGTGTGCCTGGTCTCCCATCACGCTCCCTCCCCACGTCATCTGGGAATGACAGCAAGTGCTGCTCCTCCCCAGCAGAATAAAACATCCTCTAAGAGACCTATGCCAGCTTTCTCCCTGTCCCAAGAGCCGCAGGGCGGAGGAATCACCTTCTGTCAGGGAATCTACAACCCATGTGACAGGCAGAGGAGGAGCAGGCAGTGCTTTTGGGCTGATGCCCACCAGTGCGGGCTCCTCATCCTGCTGGGACCTCTTCCCCAGCACCTCTGACTCAGGGAGGACTGATGGCTGCAGTGCCTGATCCACACCTACCCCCGGCCTTCGGGAGAGCACAGAAAATCGCTTTAAGTCCCTCTTGCTCGTATTGAAATGGCACTAAAGCAGAACTAATGTGCTCCAGGTACTTATTCTCGGGCTTAGTTGCAGGGATCAGCAGCCCTCCACCACCCCCGCTGGAGAGAGGTGATGGCCACATCACAGGCTGTGGGGAACGTGTGTTCCTGCAGTAGGGACTCTCTTAGGAAGGGATGGAAAGGTGTTTTTGACACCTGGAATGCCTGTTTTGTAAATGCAGATGGGTTTTACAACCACCACCAAACGCAGGCTGCCCAAGCAAGGTTGGGGTTGCACAGACAGGATCTCTGGGAGGATGCAGAAAGCAGGTCCTGGGTGCAAGGGGTGATGGCAGAGCACTGGGGGACTCTCCAAGCTCTGCAAGCTTTATCTTGATCCCAGTGCTTGGGAGCAGCAAAAACCAGGATTGTCCATCTCATCCCGAGCTGCCAGATTTCTGACCTCTGAAAGGAGCTGCTGCCATGACAAGTAATTTCCCCAAGCCAGCAAGGCAGCGATATAAATGTCTGAAGAAGCTGATGAGCATTGATTTTTGCCACCTGTAGAGCCATGATGCCACACCATAACTGCAGATTAGCCAAATATACTCCCCCCAGCCCCAAATTCACTCTCCAGTGCATCACAGCCCACCTTCATCTCAAAACAGCAGCACCCACAATGCCCAGCAGTTCAAAGCATTTGCCAACAGCTTGACAATTAAATTACCCAGTCACCTCCCTGTCCTGCTGTGCTGGGCTCATTAAAAATCCTCAGCATCCTTCCCATCAGAGAACCCACCTCAGAGAGCAACCCATGTCCAGGAACCCGCCTCCCCCAAGGCACCGGGTGACAACAGCATTAAGCCTTCGAAATTATTTTAGATAGAAACTTGTCTTACAGAGAAATAAAAAGCTGCAGAGTAAGACTCTCTCTATGACCAGAGGGGTCAGGGTTTCATTATTGCATTAACCTTTCGTGTCTTTAGATTCCACAATAGTAAATTGGTAACGAGACGACATGAGCCCCAATGGGAAAAATGCATCTTTCCTAACAAAAATAAGAGAAGGGGGGAAGGACAGAGGTGGGAGCAAAAGAAAGAGGAAAAACTGGCAAATAAGCTATTACAGCTAATAATAACTTTGCGGTGCTATTTTCTGCAGGAGCCTTCAAGTTGTGATGTTTCCCTTCACTCTAATTACACCTTCTAAAAGCAGGTTCCCTTCTCACTTTAACCACCCCGCGCGAAACTCCCGCAGGATTCGGATAAAAACGGAAAGGGAAGGAGTTTGCACTTCAAAACAGCCTCTGCATATCCCAGGGGAGCGTCACCTGCGTAAAACACTTGGGATCACGCCCGCAAATAATAAACAGCCCCAAAAAACCACTTTGGGAAGGTGAAGGCTCCAAGGGGCAGCAGGGAACATCCGACTTCCCTCAGCCATCCATGACTTTGCCAACATGACTTGTGTTCCAGCCCACGGCAGTGAAACCATGACTGAAATCAATGCTGGGGCAGGCTGGGCAGGGAGGGAAAACATCCAACCTCTGCAAGCCTTGGAAAAATAAAAAGGATAGGAGATGTTCAAACCCAGTGCTTTGAGGCAGAGGGTGACCAGTGTGGGGCAAGAAGGCAAAGCACCAAGCAGCCCAGTGCATTGGAATATTTCCCTTCCTCTAATGCAGGCAGAAGGTTTCTGCTGATGGATTAAAGGCTGAACCCAGACGAGCAAAGTGCTGGGCTGGTTTGGTTCAGGGGACATGCAAACCAAAGCAGATATTGCTTCTTAATAGAAGTAAGAAGGGAAAGCTACAACTGCATAAATGCGGATCAAGAAGCCTCTCCTAAGTTAGCAGGGGCTTAAATGCACAGGCATTTTCCTTCCCTGGCACACAGAGGCCAGAGCCAGCCCAGGCCATGGGCCAAACAGCCACATCCCGAGGAAACTGCAGCAGGGCACTGGCAAACAGCAAATGTGCCGTGTCAGGTCCCTGCCAGCCCCTGCAGCTTAAGGACATCTTGATGACAGCCCATCAAGTGTCACACGTCCTCCCACTTGGCCTGCACGGCTGCCTTCCATCCACTTCTTTGCAATTTCAGCCCAGAGAACGTCGTGAAAGAGCCAAGGCTCTACTCAGCTCAGCGTTGGTGAGGCACATCTGCCCCCACACCAATCTTGCTCTGTCCCCTATCTTGCTCAAGAGCTTATTTTCAATAAAAAAAACCCTTTGCATTCACAAAATTCAGGCAGCTCTCGCAGCAGTCACACTATTATTCATCCTCGTGCTCACGTGCTAAACTCTAAGTGCACCATTTTGGTTTCAGGTGCTGCTGAGGAGCTCGAGGCTCTGCTGTCAGGGGTTCTCCCTGCCAGCCAACCAGCCAATGCTCTCCCCAGGGAACAGCACTGACCCCAGGGCTACCACACATCCCATGCCCCTGCAATCCCACAGACCATCAGTGGCACCCAGCCCCAGGCCAGGGACCCCTGTAGCCGCTGATCACTCCAGCTGCAGCGTGACAGCAGGATGTGGATGGTCCCATGGCAGAAGCCTCCACAAGCAAGTTTTAGCCCTCGTGTTCAGCACAGTTGTGGAAAGGGCTGCTTTCCAGCTGTGACAGAGCCAGCCTCTCCCCAGCCACACACACCAACCCCGCACAGCAAAACGCTGGAACTAAACCACGGGAAGCTGCTGAAATTCCAGCCGTGCCTCTCCCTGCCCTCCCGAGCCCAACAGAATTCTCGCCGGCAGTCAGGAAAAACACATGTTGGGTTAAGATCAGATCCGAGCCTGGCCGCCCATTCCCCATCTGCTTGCACAGGGACAGCAATCTTTTCAGCTGCTAAAAGTGCACATCATCATCATCATCACCATCAAAAACACCCCGGTGACTTCCTCCCCCCGGCGTTCAGCTCCGTGTCCTCCCCCACCGCCCTCCCGAGGATGCAGCGCAGGGCTGCGCTCGCTGCCCCGCGAGCACCAGCACGGAGCCGGCACCGGGTCCAACCCCGGCATCTCCCCCTTCATCCTCCCCCGGCAAGCCACGGGGACGAGGCCAACCCCCATTTCGGGAGCCACCTGCTCGGCTCGTGGAGGTTGCGGCGCCCACACGGTCCCCCCGGGTGCCCAGATCGGGGCGGGGGGGTCCATTTTCACTTTGCAAAAGCGGGCGAGGGGTCGGCACCCGAGTCTGCCCGGCAGGAAGCAGGGAAGCACAGGGAACAGCGTGACAGCTCTCAAACGAGAGAGGGCACAGCAGGTGCCCAACTCTGAAGGGAGAAAAAACTGCGTGACCCCACCATTTAGAGCCGAGGGGACGGACCCTGCCCAGCTGTGCGATCCCAGCTGCAGGGACCGGCACTGCTCGGGTACCAGCGGCTCGTTGCCCACCTGGGGGTCCAGCACGGCTCTCTAAAAACCCCCTCACTACTGTGAGCCCTGGGCAATTCCCTGCTGCAGAGCAACTCGCTGCCTGGCTGCGTGTGCGCGCCCGTGCGCAATGGGCACCAAGTCCGGGTCCCCCGCGCACACCCCGCTCGGCTTTCCCACCCTGCGAGCCCACAGCCCCCCCATCCGCCGGAGAAAAAGCTCTTCGCGCTACCTGGGATGAAGAGCAGGGCAGTGGTGGCCGTGAAGACGATCCAGCAGGCAGGATGGTACATCTTGGAGCTGCGGTAGGCGAGCGGCTGATTTGCTTGCTGCTTGCTGCTGCCGCCGCTGCTTTCGTCTGCGCTGAATTCTGAGCAGGTTTAAATCCAATGTTTGCAGAGGGAGGGAGACTGAGTTAGTGAGCTGGAGAGAGAGAGAGAGACGGGAGCAGGCAGTCAGTGTCTCTGCTTTCCCCTTGCACACGCACACACACACACACACAACTAGCAGAAGGAGCACCAGGCTCCGTGCGTGCACAGGGAGCGCAGACCTCCTACCAGGCACCCATTGGTTCAGGATGCTGACTGACACACGCACACTTGCTCTTCTGCGGGTTTCACTCCGCAGCCAGGGAGTTAAATGCAGGCATCGACCCCCCGAGCATCCCTCCCAGCACCAGCTGGTGCCCGGGATGGAGGGAGCAGCCCTGCACGGGGACAGGCACAGTCCCACCGACTCCTCCTGCACCAGCCGCCTGCAAAGCGGAATTTTTTGTCCCTCACCCTGGAGCCGAGTGGTGGGGCAGCCCCAAGCTCACCCTGCTCTCTGCTCCCCTCCCTGGGAAGGCACCAGCAGCTCTGCCTGCTGCTGCAAGGCAAACCAGGGAGCAATCCAAGCTTTTTAGCATGAGTGGGTGTTTTTCGCACAAAATCTCTGAAGCCGAGAAGCAATCTTGCCTGTGCATCCCAACCAGAGACATATTTTCCCTTCAGCAGCTCACAGAGCCCCCAAAAGATGTCGAGCTCAGGGTACCTGCTCCTACCTGAGCAGACCCCCTAACTTGACATCGTCCTGTTCCCACCCAGGCCAAGGAGTTTTCCTCAGGTTCTCCTTCCAGTCGGCCACAGTTTTCCCCACGATCCCTCCTGCCCCCCAGATCTCCCCTTGGCACCTTACCACGCCCCTGCTGAGCCCTGAGCATCCCCAGTGCAGGGCATCAACAGCTGCCCCTGCCATGTCCCTTCCTCCCATGGCTACCCCCACATCAAAGCATTTGCCAGCAAGGGCTTGAGTTTGCTGCATTGCCAAAAGAAACAAAAACAGGTTGCAAAGGTAAGCTTCCCAAAGAAACAGCACTTATTTTTGACATTTTGTAAACAAAAAGATGCTTCTTATTTTGCATTCATTTACTTATTTTGCACTCACTGTGTTAAACTCTAAGCATTTTTTAACGCTTAAAGTAATATGTTCGGTTTTGTTCAAAACAATCTCCTTCCCCACCAACTCAGGGCTCAAGGTCTTTTTTTTAAGTTCCAGGCCAGCCCAAGAGCACTTTCAGCCCAATACTTTGGACTTCCAGCTAACCCACCACAGCTTTTTGGCACCAGCGGCCACAAACTCCTCCACATCCCACATCCCAGGGTTTCATCTGCTCCTCATCTTAGTGTCTGTGCCATTCTACCTGGGCATGCTCTCACCATCCCTGGATGCCCAAGACACACCACTTTCCTGGATTCTTTTCCCTCAAGACCCCTTTTTGCATTAAACCATCATCACAGGGAGTGTCTGGATAAGGGACACTGCATTGGGTGTGCACAAATCCCAAAGGATGATGCATCCACACATTAATTCCCCCAACCTGCTACAGACCTGGGACCAGAGCAGCCACCAAACACCTGGCATCCAAATCCAGCCACAAAACCCTGATCATTCCCCCTCCTTCCTGTCTTTCTTTCCCCCATTTCTCTCCCCTACTTGTTTCAGCTCAACGCAGACTAATCACAGAGACGGCCACCACATCCCCCTCCATGCACATCCCTCTTATCCTGCATTATCTCCATTCAAAGCAGCACCAGAAGGAGCAGGAATAGTGGGTTTGGTGCACAAAGCCACATCCATCATGCTCTGGAAGGAGTTCCCTCACCCAGCAAGGGATGGAAGCCAAGCACACACCACCAGGACAAACGTTCTCCAGCTTTTAGCCACTAATGGCTCTTCATTTTCTGCTCTGTATGACTGAACTACAAGTTTTAACTCAACCATATTCCCACATTATCTGCTGTCCCATCACCTGCATCTTTAGGAATATGCTGAAGGAAACATGACTAAGGACTGTGCTCCTTTAAAAGTTATGTTGTTTGCAGTAACCCTGACCTCAGAAAGAGCTAAATCATCTGATTTTTGCACAAGCACTGAGCAAAAACCAACAAGCCCAGTGTCTCCCTCAGCTTGGGATGAGGATGGGATATTTCTGTCCTGAATCTCCCTTTAATTGACACCCCAACAGCCGCCATCAAGTGAATTTATCCTTTGCTTCATAAGTATTTTGGGAAAACAGCTGCAAGAAAGCATTTGGGATTTCCCAGGGCTGCGAGGTATGTGGCTGCATCCTTCAAGGCCAGCCCAGGGCAGGGACATCTGTGCCCTGAGGGGACTGAGCAGCTCTGGGGCTCAGCTGAACCCTCTGGCTGCAGCTCGTTCTCCCAAACCCACACAGCGAGCTCTGAATCCACCCAAGGCATAAAGAAATAAAGTTATCCCAGAGAAACTAAAGGAAACGAACAAAGAAATCATTTCCAATTAACAGAAATGTTTGATGGACTCAGAACAAACATGTTGCTCTGCTTTCAAAACCTGAGTTGAAAAGCTATATTTGGGTAAATTTCAAAACAACACATTCTTACTTTTTTTTCCCCTCCCACCACAGTTTTTCCCATATGCTTTTTTTTTTTTTCCTTTTTTCACCTGGCAATGATTATTACCCAAATCCAGCACACACTTAGCTGCTCTCCTTACATCTATTTTGGCCAATTAGGCTGGCACCCAAATTGCCAAGTGCAGGTCTGAGGGTGACCTCGGACCAGACCTTTGGTGCATTGATGCCTTTACCTTCCCATCTGCAAAATGGGAACAAACGTGCTTTGATCAGGCAAACAAATCCCTCACTGCTCACCAGCTTTGCAGGACTGACCAGCCACTGGCCTGTTTCGTTTGTTTGATTTCCAAGACACATAATAAAAAGGTGTATAAATATGTATTTAGCTGGTGGAGCTTTTCTGGGATATTTGGGGTTGTTTGCTTTTCGGTATCAAGCAGAGAATCTAAAATGCATATTTAGATTTGACAGGCAGCACCCAATCTGAGAGGAGACATTATGGTCCGCTGGGCACATTTAGACATGATTTTTGTGTGTATTTTGAGAGGTTTTTTTCCCCAGCTGTCTCAATGCATATTCACATCTGGGACCAGACTAGTCTCTGGGGGAAATAACACATTTCCAGCGAAGCAGAGGTTTCCTCACCCTCTCCTTGTGCAGCCAGGGAGAGGGGGGCAGAGCACCCCAGAAGCAGGAGCACAGGGCAAGGAGCAGCCCTGCTCCCATCACAGATGCTCCAGCGTGATGTCCAGCCACGCCCCCCCAGGTCCCAGGCACCAAAGCAGCCTCCCCTGGGGTGATCCCAGCTGGTGGACGTGATCCCTCCACAGAGTCCTGCATGACCACGCACACACAGCTCTGTCTCCCTGCTCCTCCGGGCCCCGAGGCCACAGCCCTTGTCCTGGCCACCTGCCCACCCTCCTTCCCAAACCCAGCATCCCACAGCCTGTGCACCCACCTCCACGGAGCCCCCTAACCCAGACCAGTCCAGGGGAACTGGATGGCACCTCTCCACAGGGCTGGGGCTTTGCAAGGAGCCCCAGTGCTGCCCTGATGGGTGTCTGCTCCCCTCAGACTGTGGTGAGCAGGAAGGGAAGCAGGAGGGCTGGGGTGGGCAGGAGGGGAAGCAGGAGGATTGTGGTGGGCAAGAAAGGGTGCAGGCGGGCTG